GCACTTTTGGAAGATTCTTCAGCCTTTGATGTACCAGATTTGGGAAAAAGACAGATTATTCTCAAACAAAGAGGCGCCAGCGATGAGGAAAAAAATCTTGCAATGCATATGTATACATTGGGGTATGGTGCATTTCCCCAGCACTTTTTCGAGCAGTGATAATGCACCACCAGCATCCCGAACTCAACCCGCCCAATCCCGCCACATCCGCCATCACCCGGCAAATCAACCGCCATCAGATGTTGATTATCAAATCGGGAGGTGCCATATAGCAGCACCTCAGGTGCTGTGGCACCGGGAGGTGCCAAATAGATTTATCCACCTTTTATCGCTACGCCTGGCGGCTTTGTACTCTCTCGTTTCATTCTTTCAATAGCCGCCGGAATGACCACTTATAATATTTGTATCGGTGGAGTCGAACTTGAACTTTGACCGTTTGGTTCTTCAACAGTTGTGCGTCTGATTTGCCCTGACCCCCTTGCAGTGGTGGTCGAAGGGAATTTTCCCCTTCTGCATCGATGGAGATAGGTACAACCGTGTTGTGCAGCGCGCTAGAAAGTGTTCGCCGTTTTGGAATCCAAAGGCTTGGGTTGAGATTGCGCCAATGCGGACCCACCGAAGATCGGAGCACCCGCAGCTGACTGTTACTGCTGACACCGACTCAGGGAATGCCGTCGATGAGGAAACACCGAAGTCAACGGGTCGCCTTGCGGCAATCTCGCGGCTCCCCCTGTAGATAAAACCACGAATCTGTTGTTGGTAAAGCCTACTCTACTCAATTTTCTTCCGCCCGCACATCTGACATTTTTTTAATAACGATGGCACAAACCGCCGAATACCGCCAGGTTGGAAAATCTGGATTGCGAGTGTCCGTTCCCATTGTGCGTACCGTGCCAAAGGACCACAGCTTCCGCTCGCTGATTCTGAATTCTTGAAGCTCGGGGGAATGACAATCGGAAGCACGGAGTGGATTGTGAGTTTTTCAACAAGACTATGGGTGTTCAAAATCCTGAAGTTCAACTGCAGCCTTGGCTTCTCAAGGAGGACAAGGTGAAGATCGGCAGCTATGTAACCCATACCTTCCCCGCTCATTTTTTTCGCGCACAGGCAATTCCGCTGCTCAAAGCAGCCTGGGACCTGGGAATCAATACCGTTGACACTGCTAATGTCTATTCGAATGGGGAATCGGAAAAGATCATTGCCAAGTTTATGAAGCAGGTGTGTCTTTGTCGGTTCACTTCCAATTTACTCTGACGACTGCATATTTCCAGTATGAAATTCCGCGCCAGAACATGGTCATCATGACCAAAATCCGATTCCTTGTCGGCCCCGATCCAGGCACCTTCATGTTCCTCCATCCACACCTCGCCGACACGAAGGACTACGTCAACCTCGGAGGGCTCTCCCGTACGGCCATCATCAGCTCCGTTGAGGCGTCCCTCGCGCGTCTCAACACGACGTACATCGACCTCCTGCAGCTGCATGATTTCGACGAGGCGACCCCAATCGAGGAGACCATGAAGGCTCTGCATGACCTGGTCGTCGCGGGGAAAATCCGTTATCTCGGCGCGTGCAGGATGAAGGCGTGGCAGTTTGCGGAAATGAACCACGTTGCTGAGATCAACGGCTGGACCACCTTCATCAGCGTTCAGATCGAACATTCCCTGCTCTATCGCTCGGAGGTAAATATTCTGCCGCCTGAAGAACGTCCTAAATGTATCTAATAAATCTCATAGGAGCGAGAAATGATGGCGTACTGCAAATACAAAGGGATCGGCGTCTTGGCCTTCTCTCCGCTCCTAGACGGACATCTCGCGCGTCCAGTCGGGACAGCGACTCCGCGCGTCAGCAACATCACCGGGACGCCATTCGAGAAATCCCGCCGCCCCAGCGACGAGCTCATAATAAAGCGCGTGCAGGAGATCGCTCAAAAGCGTTCCTGGGAGATGAGCCAGGTTGCGCTTGCCTGGTCGCTTACCAAAGTGTCGAGCCCCATTGTAGGTGCGAACACGGTAATGAATGGATTCCTTTTCGAATGTTCCCAACGTAGCTGACCCCAATGGCAGCCTGAAAGACTTTCACACAGTATCGTGAAGGATAAAAGGTTGACCGACGAGGAGGTCCAGTACTTGGAAGAACTGTAAGCGATATCAACTGTTCTTGCGTTTTGGTTGAGCTGATGAGATTATAGATACGAGTCCCAACCCTCCAGATATTGAGGTGAGGCGATATCGAGACGTTCAAAATTGAATTCAGACGGCCTCCCCGGTAACAGAAGTTGAACATCTGAATTTCAGCCAAATTCAAACCACAACACTGAGTTTTGTAGTACAAATACCGTAATTGGGTGCGTTAAGGGAGTCTGAGAGTGCTAGCATATGTACGCGTATACACAAGATGCGCCTCGTGCTTGGTTTTCGTGATTTGAACTTGAATTCTTCGATGTTGAGATGTAGGTACGGTCGGGAGGAGCGGAATGGGGACCGTTATTGGTGGAATTGGCTCTCTGTAAGCCGGCTTATATTCCCCGGCTGCTTGTCGTACGACGCCGCCGCATCGTCGGGCGGCGGGAGCGGGACGCTGGGCGCGCGGGGCATCCTGAGTGTCGTTTCGGGAGCGGGGGTGGGGTTCTTGTTCCTGTTCTTGTTCTGGTTGTGGTGCGTAGCTGCGATGGATTGGGGTCCGAGAAATGCGATGCGGTATGGTGTGGGATGGGATGGGATGGATATCCGTCTAGGGAGAATTCGAAGCCTGAAGCCAAGGGATCTGTGGTCGGTGAATAAGGAAAGCAAGATTTTCCTCCGTCGCAAAGTCGGGTAAGCAGACCCAAAGGCAGTGCTTGCACGCCCGAGTCCGAGTAATCCGTTTTCTTCCTCCTCTGTTTCAATCCTAATCCTTTCTCGCCTGTCTCCTTTCCTTTCCTGCTTCTTCTTGGCAAGTCGAATGAACTCGACACCTCAAACAACAACGAGCGGCATCTCTGCCAGTAGACGGTGGTATGGGTGGGTGTGGGTGTGTCGATTGGGGTGAGCGGTAGGTACGCTCAAGGCTCGAGCGAAGAGAACGAGCCCGTCGCACCGTGACACTGACAAAATACACCCCACCAAACAACCCGGTCTGGCCACCAGCGTAATTCCCGCACCAACCACGCGCCGATAATTCCTTCCTGGATGCTTGGTCAGGCTTTTTTTTAGGCAAATCACATCTTAGCGAACATTATGTAATCCATCCCATCGGCCAATCGCATCCCGCGTACTCATCGTACGGCGAAAACGACTCCCGGCGTGCGATGGACACGGATTCTATTACCAAGCGGCCCCTGGCTGGAATGGACGTCGACCCAGCAGCTTACAAACATTGCCACTCCTCGTAAGCGGAATGGACGTCGTCGACATCAGTAAAACTGCAAAAACGTCTTGGACGTCTTTGGCGTCTTCGCCAAGACCTGAAAGACGCCAAAGACGTATTTTGGTCCAAGACGTCGCATCTTGGGAAAGTAGATTCAATTTTGCTGCCCAAGACGCGAGTCTTTCCCAAGACGTAAAAGACGCAGGGCATCTTTTCTCAGCTATGGCTCAAAGACTCCGAAGATGAACATTCAAAGACAGTATATATTGGCAGTATCGGATACATAAGTAATAGTACCACACGACTTGAAAGATACCGCCCGTCTGCCGGCACTGATGATTCGACGAGTCTGTAGCGGAGAACTCAGTGCCATGGGCACCAGATCGGAGAGAGAGAACGAGGAACAGGGTCAGTTCTAGAATGGGTGGTAGGTATAGCGGACGTACCAAACGACAATGGACGCCCCGTAAACTTCTGACAATCCTCGGGAAACACGACGCCGTTAGTATATGATGTTCTTGACTCGGGAGCCCAAAGGAGGATTGCAACGAGGAGCACCAAGCGATCACCAAGAAAGAACAGATTCACTTGATTGCTTGAGACTTGCTTCATGGCTTGAGGAATTTGCGGTCTTGTATCCAATATTCCGTATTTGAGGACTTGTTACTTGGGATCTTCAATACTTGATCACGGCTGAGCATAGAGACGGAAAAGGCTACAATCGAGGGAGAGTAGGGCGGGAGGACTGCGAGGGAGCAGAAAAGACGCAGGGAGACGACAGCGGGGGAGATGATGGGGGTCGGAAGAAAAGAACGATGTATCACGAACTGCGACTGATCGCATCATGTGCACGGGCCATCCCGCGGAGTTTGAACTGACTTCAGTTTCACGTCGATTTCATGCCACGGTTCCCCTCAAGTCATTCGCATTGCCCGCGACTTTGTATATATCCCTACAGAACTCCGCCCCGTTTGCTAATACGTGGGTTGGCAATCAAAAATCTCACTTTTTTCTTTCCCCCCACTGCAGCATTTTCTTCTCCCTCACTGAACCAGTGAGTGCAATGTGTCAGCACAAAGCAAAAAAAATGCCACTTAAATGAAGCCTGTCCATGGAAGCTCAACTTCATGTCCAGAAACTTGGATATTTTTTGGTCTTTCAGGACATTTTCTGCAAGATTCAAGATGAAATACAAAGATCAAAGAAGTTACTTCCAAGATGAAAGATGTCGCCCACAAGACGAAAGATAGTCCCAAAAGACCTAAGCAGCCCAAAGACTCATTTCAAAGATGTAAGCTGCCAAAGACTTTTTTGCAGTTTTACTGATGGATGACGAGGGCCAGCATTACACAGGAAGCTCCGAGGCCTAGACACTCCCCAAGCTCCGAGGCGCCCATGATCCGACCCTTCCTGCCTCCGAGGAGTGGGTATCGGGTATCGGGCGTACTCGGAATGTATCCATTCTGACTATATGCGTTACTGAGTAATGCTTAGATTATTGTACGATTCAATCATCTGGTACGATATCTATCCATAGATACTCAGGTTGCTCTGGTGATACTTAACTTGCTGTGATGAGGATGAAGAATGGAGCACTAAAATAAAAGTTGAAAGTGAAGTTTGCGAAAAAAAGACGCACATCGAATGGCAAATGGCCTGACTCGGATTCGAACCGAGGACTTCCTCGGAAGATTACAAGCGGCTCTGCAGACTAAGAGGTTGTGTAACCACTACACCGTCAGGCCCCCTCCTAACATTGCTCTCCCAACATTGCTCTGTCTCTGAATACCTTTTCTTCCCTTTTCATCCCATGCACAAACTCCTCTCAAATCAATTGAAAGTGTAAGGGCCTGATCGGGTGGGCTAGGATTTTTTATTTGGCCGAATAGAATTCCCGTAGCTTCTTCCCGACCGTCCCGCAGGCCTGCCGCGTCTCTCCTTCACTCAATACCCAGCACCCAGCCAGCAATGGCTCCAAAAGGCGACCGTGCAGCAACCCCGAAGGCTCACTGGACTGATGCAGAGTGTCTTGCTGCAATAGGTGCCCTGGCAGGCAAGAAAGATACCCACCAAAGTGGCAATGGATGGAAAGACTCTGTGTGGACAATTGCAATTGTCGTCAAAGCTATTCACGAAGCAAAACCCGATGCCCTTCCCATGAAGGATGTGACCAAGTGCAAAACTAAGATTGGCTACGTGTGTCTTTCATTCATCAGCGCGTGCAGCATTACGTGATACTGACACTTCGTAGCTCAAGACCACCTTTGAGGAGTATTTATTCATTGAAAAGTACAGTGGAAGCGGATGGGATGATGACAAAAAGCACGTGACAAACACGGACGAGTATATACAGGACTTCCTCTTAGTGCGTGGCCCGCTCATACCATTTTGACATCATCTAACCAAATTTCCCGCATTGCGCAGGCCAATGGCAAACAATATGCGAAGTGTTTCAAAACACCCTGTCCCTATTACTCCCTCCTCAACTCGCTATACGACGGAATGCGCAATCGTGCAACAGGCGACAATGTTGTTCATCTCAGCAAACAATTCCGCAAGAAAAACTCCAAACAGCAAGACGAGAGTGAAAAAGAGAACGAGAATACGGGCCCGAGTGCAGGCGATGGAGCGACTGCAGGCCCCAGCAATATTGATGCCGACATCCGTGCACCGATGGCAGCGCTTGACACCACCACAAACGATTGCGATGAAGACAGCGGAAGCTCTGCAAACAACAGCTTGACGGTCCCATATGCTGATGAGCTTTCTATGGGGTGTTCTCCACTTTGTTATTGTGTTGTCCTGTTCATTTGCATCCAGTCTCCAGTTAAGACTGCGAAAAGACACGAGCGAGCCGAAAGCGAGGACGAAACAGATGTTTCCAATGAGCATCGCAAACACAAGAAGTCGGATTCACCTAGTATCATGTGTCGCAATGCCGAAGCCGGCTCTCAACTTTCCCACTCGATCGACAATCTCTCGGCAGCCATGGGCAAACCCATCGTTACTGCCGAGGACCTTGGACACATCAACGAAATTGTGCGCATTCTCAAGGACAAGACCCTCCTTCCGCCTGATCCAAAAGGTAAATTATTCCGGCTGGTATCCGGCACCCTCAGCCGTGACGCCGCGCTGGCTCGAGTGTTTATTTTGGAGGAAGATCCTGTCCGTTGCAAGGGTATGCTGGAGGGGATTTTGGAGGAAGCTGGTGTGGTGGTCCCGGATGATTTTCAGGTGCATCTTTTCCTTTTTGAGTGGCTTGTTTGATTGTGCTCACAACTCTCAAGTGCCGAATTCTGCTGCCGTTGTATTGTAACTTTTCGTGCATACTTGTCTCTGTACCGTATTCGACTGTTTTCTCTCGCATTCAGATTTTGTAGCATCATCATCCTGTAGTCGTCCATTGAACTCGAGTTTAATTGCTTTCACCAAATCCCTGTCACTGAATGATAATAGTTTATTGCAAGTCAGGATGATCTACAACTGTCAAGAACCGTTCCCGGCGGACCGATAAGGAAAGTCGGCGGAGTAAAGCGGGGCCGGTGACAACGGGCCCGCGCGGGAGCCGTACTCGGTGAAAGGGAAAAGGTAGAGGGCTATGGCTTCAGCTCGTGCGCTGCGCCCTTCTCTACGCCCAGTGCCCAAATTTCAGGATAGAGTCGAAGACAGAATGCGGAGATGAACGGAGTCCGCAAGAGAATGAGAGTAAGGCAAGTCTAAGTCGATATTCAAACTGAAGTCTAACTACCGACATGAGAGCTATTTATAGGAAAGTATAAAGACATATGGAGAAGTCGGATTAGACGGAGGACCGAGTCCTCCGTGATGTATGAGTAAGTATCAGTCAGATGTACGTCGGAGAAGTCGGAGGTCCGACGTGTCCGTGATAGAAGCGTATCAGAGCATAGCATAAGGCATAGGTATAAACCGAAGGCAGTACAAACCAAAAGGAGAACAAGAAGTCGGAGTGGACCGGGGCCGGGGAAGTCCGTGTGTGGCTGTTCGTCGGAGATGTTCGGATCCGAGAGGTCCGATGGCACGGCCCGTGACAGTATCCCCCTCTTAGCGCCGAACCCATGAGGCGCTAAAGAGTGAGAATTCCTGCCTAAGCCGGATGATCCGAAAATCCCGTGTGAACGGACTCCGATCAGCTATATATGTCCACGTGATGGGAAAGTGAAAAAATCAACATCTCTTCCTCGTACCACCACCATCCCCACAACCCAAAACCCCCCGCTCCGTAAACTCCGCTCCGATGGCCCCACGTCGCGCCGCTACGATCAAGAAAAACGAGAGCCCCGAGCAGTGCACTGCTCGGGGCTCAAGTTGATCAACGCCACCGAGGACGAGGTGATGAAGGATTTCGGCTACGAGGACCTCAAAAAGTGGCACGAGGTGCAGATAGCGGAGGACGCCCGGAAAGAGGAGGAGGCGACAAAAGAGCGGCTCCGGCTGGAGAAGCTGAAGGAAGATGAGCGGCTCCGCAAGGAGAAGGAGAAGGAAGACGAGCGGCTCCGCAAGGAGAAGGAGAAGGAGGACAGGAAGCGGAAAGCGACGGAGGCCGCCAACAAGGAGGGCAGCAGCCAGGGAGCTGCAAACCGCAAAGGCAAGCAGGTTGCAGAGGGAGAGAAAACGGGCAAGAAGCGCAGAGGCGGCTCCGTCGGCGCCGAGGATGAGAGGGATGCCAAGCGGGTGAAGGTGGATGAGGAAAGGGTGCGTCGCAATCCGTCGGATCCGGCCTATTTACTGATTTTCTAGCACAGTGCGCAAACTGCATCAAGGCACACGAGGAGAAGTGCGTGGTCGAGTCCGGCAAAAAGTCGTGCTCGTACTGCGTACGCCGCAAGATTGGCTGCGATCGCGCAGCTGGCGGGTCCGTCGGGCCCGCCATCGATCCGGAACTGCTCCAAGCCGGAGTCGAGGCCCAGGAGTCTACGGCGGCACTGCTCCGTTCCATGGGGCACCGCCAACATCGAATGGAGGCGTCGTTAATCGACCTGGAGGAGAGCGTGGACGACGTCCGTACGGAGCTCCAGCACCTGGGGCAACTCCTCAAGATTGGCCTCCGGATGGCCTACGGCGATGAAGCGGAGGCTCCGCTCTGCACCCACGAGCAAAGGGTCGAAGAAGAGTGGGCGGAGATCAAACGGTCCCGTGAGACCGGAGCCCGGTCGGAGAGGGCGAAGTACGCCGAGGAGCGCCAGAGAACCGGCGAGAGCGGGGCCGAGTCGGAGAAGAAGAAAAAGAGGAAGGAAAAGCAGAAGGATGACGGCGCGAACAAGGAGTTCGTGCAGGGGAGTTCGAAGGGTTGAGGAGACGGAGGATGACGGGGCCGAGGGAGCGGAGCCTGACGGCTCCGCCAAAATGTATATAAAATAGTTGTTTGTATAATTTTGAAATCTTTCTTGGATAAATGTGTGAAATAAGAATGAAAAGAAAAGGAATAAAGGAAAAACGCTCAGAAGACCTTCATTGCGTAAAAACCTTTTATCCCAACCGGGGCCCTGCGGAGGTCCGCTAGTAATCAGGTCCTGGTCGATCGGGATATCTGGCGTGGTATTCTTCCACCAGCTCACTTGCGTGAGCGAGT